CCTATGTCAATGTTTAGAGAAAGGTTAATAAAAAAAAAAAAAAACTTTAAGTCGATCCAATGAGTACATACCAAAAATCTTCGACACTAGTGAAAAAAATTAGTTTTTTTTAACATTTAATAAATGATATTAAAAATATTATTTACGTTTTCTTTTTACATGCTTTTATACCCCTCGCATACTTAAATAAAGTACTAAATTACAAGTTTATAGCTTTTTTTTATTTCTTAGTAACTCATGCTTTAAAATTATTTATTTTTTCGACCGGTCAGTACAGTCTAATCCCTTAACAAAAGATTTCGAAACATTTGCTATATTTAGAATATACCGCTCTAACATAAGAAACGTACACTCAAAAATAGTGTGATCAATGACGATAGGGAAAAAAATATATTAAAAATATATTTCAAACATCATTAAAAAATTTTTGTATAAAAGTGGACATGTATTTTTAATATTATAGATCCTAAAAAAAATCGAAAAGACACTTTATATATTAAGAATTATAAGGGCTTGACAAAAATCGCAATAATTCTTGACTTGTAAATTGTTAACATATAAAAGAATATGTTATCATTTTCTTATTAAATAATAACATTGAGTGATTTGTTAAATAATATAGAAATGGGAATTGTTACATATTTTGGCTCCATTTTTTTAATTTAGCAACAAGTTGGCGCGCCTTTCTGTGCAGACCTTTAATTAGTCGCGCCGACGTCTCGTTACTAAGTTAAGAAAATGGAGCCAAATGCAACAATTCCTATCTCTCTATATTGTTTTATAAATCACTCAATTATTGTCTAATGCCAAAAAAACGCGACAAATATATTGCGACAAGAAATATAACATATATAAGATTAATAAAATGTATAGAAAATTGAAAATAAAAAATCGCGATCTCTTTCTTTCGAATAATTTTTCTAATCATCATTAAATAAAAAAAATTATCAATTTAATTGTTACACGATGTTAAATATTCACTGCAGATATTTGATAAATTAAAATAATATGTAAAACGTATAGAATTTAGCAACGAGTTGGCGCGCCTTTGTGTGCAGGCTTTTAGTTAGTCGCGCCGACGTCTCGTTGCTAAGTTACAAAAATCGAGCTAAATGCAACAATTCCCATCTCTATATTGTTTAACAAATCACTCAATTATTGTCTAATGCCAAAAGAACGCGACAAATATATTGCGACAAGAAATATAACATATAAGATTAATAAAATATATAGAAAATTGAAAATAAAAAACCGCGATCTCTTTCTTTCGAATAATTTTTCTAATCATCATTAAATAAAAAAGAAATTATCAATTTAATTGTTACACGATGTTAAATATTCACTGCAGATATTTGATAAATTAAAATAATATGTAAAACGTATAGAATTTAGCAACGAGTTGGCGCGCCTTTGTGTGCAGGCCTTTAGTTAGTCGCGCCGACGTCTCGTTGCTAAGTTACGAAAATCGAGCTAAATGCAACAATTCCCATCTCTATATTGTTTAACAAATCACTCAATTATTGTCTAATGCCAAAAGAACGCGACAAATATATTGCAACAAGAAATATAACATGTAAGATTAATAAAATATATAGAAAATTGAAAAAAAACCGCGATCTCTTTCTCTCGAATGATTTCTAATCATCATTAAATAAAAAAGAAATTATCAATTTAATTGATACACGATGTTAGATATTCACTGCAGATATTTGATAAATTAAAATAATATGTAAAAAGTATAGAATTTAACAACGAGTTGGCGCGCCTTTGTGCGCAGGCCTTTAGTTAGTCGCGCCGACGTCTCGTTGCTAAGTTACGAAAATCGAGCCAAATGCAACAATTCCCATCTTTCTATATTATTTAACAAATTATTTAATTATTGTATAATACCAAAAGAACGCGACAAATATATTGCGATAAGAAATATAACATATAATATTAATAAAATATATAGAAACTTGAAAATAAAATACCGCGAATCTCTTTCTCTCGAATGATTTCTAATCATCATAAAATAAAAAAGAAATTATCAATTTAATTGTTACATGCTGTTAGGTACTCACTGCGGATATTTGATAAATCAAAATAATGATGTAGAAAGTATGGAATTCCTCGAGATAACTTCGCAAATATCGGAGGCACAAAATACACGTCCGTATGGGCTCACGTTATCGCAGAGAAAGAGCGAAAAAACAAAATCGCCGCGCTAAGAGGATCTCGTTAAGTCACTGCACACATCATGCGCGACTTAAGGCGCCAGCGTAGTTAACCAATCAGAAGATCCTAGTCCAAAACTAGCCAATTGGCAATGTGGATTGGTAGCATATATTGTCCAACCGTGCTTGCGTTGGTTGCGCGCGTAAAAATGGAGCTTTGATACAATTCAGACACTCCTATAATATTATATATTTAAAAAAAATATTATCATTGCTAAATTAATATTCAAATAGGGAAATAATTTTAATGCTGTCAAAATATAATATAAAAAATATAAAAAATAAAATTAATTAATGAAAGGCTCGTATAAATTAACAAAATTTAAAAAAGGTAAATATTGTAGGCCAACTAAACGAGCAATTAAATAAGATCTAAAGATTTATTAATAATTAAATAATTAAATTCTCATTCCGTTAGAGAAACAATATACAGCATAAACGTTTCGACTGTACTACAGTCTTTTTCAATACATAAAAATCAAATATTATAATACAAAGTTATAAATATTAAAATAAAAAGTTAGTTAAATATTAAAATACAAAGTTAGTTAAATATTAAAATACAAACATTAATAAGAATATTTGTCAGTCAGCTCTCCTATTTTTTAAAAACTCCATCTTCATCTCGACTAAGAGCCAAACGCGATGTTATTACGACAAATTAAGATTTAGAAATTTTTGGAAACTGAGGAATTTGAATCCTATGGTTGGGATCTCAGAAATTCCCCTTGTTCCTTCTTTTAACATCCCCTGTAAGAAAAAGACGAGAAAAATATTGGTCCGAAAGTCGGCTGAATCGGGAATCGAACCCGAGACCTTCTGCTTGCCGGGCGACTGCTCTTCCAACTGAGCTATTCAGACACTTACAAATCAATATTTCTCTCAATGTTTATAACCCCCACCCCCCCCACCAAGGCGTCGTACCTGGTCCAAACGCAACAAACATTAATAAGAATATTTGTCAGTCAGCTCTCCTATTTTTTAAAAACTCCATCTTCATCTCGACTAAGAGCCAAACGCGATGTTATTGCGACAAATTAAGATTTAGAAATTTTTGGAAACTGAGGAATTTGAATCCTATGGTTGGGATCTCAGAAATTCCCCTTGTTCCTTCTCTTAACATCCCCTGTAAGAAGAAGATGAGAAAAATATTGGTCCGAAAGTCTTAGTCGAGATGAAGATGGAGTTTTTAAAAAATAGGAGAGCTGACAGACAAATATTATTATTAATGTTTGTTGCGTTTGGACCAGGTACGACGCCTTGGTGGGGGGTGGGGGGTTATAAACATTGAGAGAAATATTGATTTGTAAGTGTCTGAATAGCTCAGTTGGAAGAGCAGTCGCCCGGCAAGCGGAAGGTCTCGGGTTCGATTCCCGATTCAGCCGATTTTTGGACCAATATTTTTCTCGTCTTTTTCTTACAGGGGATGTTAAGAGAAGGAACAAGGGGAATTTCTGAGATCCCAACCATAGGATTCAAATTCCTCAGTTTCCAAAAATTTCTAAATCTTAATTTGTCGCAATAACATCGTGTTTGGCTCTTAGTCGAGATGAAGATGGAGTTTTATTAAAATACAAAGTTAAACGATTCTTCGCTGATGACCAATTTAGACTTCGCAACACACACTTGAAATGTCGAGAAGAAGAACTTGTTAAAACGATAATGTAAGTTGAAAGATTTTTTCATTTTCTCTGATATTAATTTAATTCGCGTAAAATATCCACAGCATGATTAAATGTCGCAAAACTTGAAATCTCAGACCAATCGTTTTACTCATCCATTGGTCATCAGCGAAGAATCGTTTAACATTGTATTTTAATATTTAACTAACTTTGTATTTTAATATTTGATTTTTATGTATTAAAAAAGACTGTAGTGCAGTCGAAACGTTTACGCTGTATATTGTTTCTCTAACGGAATGAGAATTTAATTATTTAATTATTAATAAATCTTTAGATCTTATTTAATTGCTTGTTTAGTTGGCCTACAATATTTACCTTTTTTTAAATTTTATAAAAAATAATATTTGTATACGCCATATTGGTAAGGTACGGTTCGTACGAACTGTATTGTACGATATGTACCGATAATATGCACTAATACGTAGTACAGGTACAATGATGATACGCTGTACTACAATATCACGTATTGGTTTTGTACTGTTACCATACGGTTACTCCGTATGCTGCCATCTCGTGGCGGCACAGTAATAGTACAGTAGCGGTATTTTGTGCAGGAATCGCACGCTTGGTTATCTGGGTATGTAGGCCGATTCTCACAATTTCTTTACCAACTTTTGTATATTATGAGTACCACGTATATAATAAGTACGAAACGTACATTACGAGGACTTCTTACTTTTTATGTCTTGTATATTGCGAAAACCATCTAATTTAATTTACTATAATTTACATCCCAGTCAGAAATGTAACCTTGATTCAAGGTTGATTCAACGTCGATATGGTTGACAGCTAGTTGAGTCGATAAGAAAGTTGATATTACTGCAATATCAATCATCCAATCAGATGAAGTGCAACGTTGATTCAACGTTGATCTCTTTAACCGAAGTCTAACTCGTTATGAACCAATCCTGATTAGGTTTAACGATTTAAGTTTTGGTTATTAAAGTGAGTTGTGGAATCTGGCCTAAATGATTCAATTTATAATCGCTTAAAAAATTCTTGCGGGCCCGTGATTGAACAGCGCGTCAGAAAAGCTATAACACACCTTTCACATTGCTTGATTCGGCAATTGGTAAAATCTTTCGATGTGTGTGTTATACCCTTAAGTTGCGTCGCTACGATCGTAGATCGGGGGTAATGTATGATATATATGTATGACCATCCGTTAGAGTGAATGCGCACGTTGCGGATATTGCTTTTATGTTACAAGTGTATTATCGCATTTTTAATTATCACAATGGATATTGACGTTACTAAGCGGGTAAGTACTATTTTTCTTACACTTGATTGTTATTATTTTTATATAAAATAATAATAGGATACAAAATATAGGCGCGCGGTTATTAAGTGTTTGTGACAACGTAACCTATAATAAACATTTTCTCTGTATTTTGATTTAGAGTTTTTATATTTAAATTTTTTAATTCTGTACGTTGCTTTCCACGTATTTGTCAGATAAAGTGTGTAAAAAAGTATTTTTGCTTTGAATAATAAAAGGTAGCAGTTGGATATATATAATCAGTTCTATTCTATTGTTTCTATAAACAAAGAAAATAGTTTTATACATTTTTTTATCACATGTCAATTATTTCATTTTTTGTTTATATATATAGTGTTATAAACGTAGTTGGAAGGAAAGAGCTGAGACCATAGTTATAAAAAGGTTGAAAGTTAAAGAGCGACAAGATTATATTTTAAAAAGAGTTAATAAATTATTAGAATCAAAATGTAGACTCAAGTGCAATAGTTTGAGCAACAGCAATTTGTCAATTTCAAGAGACTCTGAAGAAGAAAATTTGCAACTTAATGAATTAATAGATTTAAATCATTATTCTCAAAGTGAACTTGAGATTCAAGAAGATATAGCTTTCGAAAGACTTTCTAATGTCATGAGTTTTGATGAAAATATAGATAAAAGTGAAAATAGAGATGAAAATGAATGTATAGATGAGAGTGAAAATAGAGATAAAAATGAAAATATAAATGAGTGCAAAGGTATAGATGAGAGTGAAAATACAGATGAAAGTATATATGAAAGTGAAAATACGAATAAAAGTGAAAATGAAGATGAAAATGTTAATACAGTTTTTGAAAATGATCAGCAAAAGGAAAATTATGTAATATTAGCTTTACGTCAATGGGCTTTATCAGGTGGTGTTATTTCTATGTCAAAAATAGATGAATTACTTGCAAAACTTCAACCTGTATTTAATAATCTGCCTAAATGTTATAAAACTTTATTGAAAATTGATGACGATATACATATTATTCACTTTGAAAATAGAGGACAATTTTGGTATCGAGGAATTAAAAATTATTTGGATGGGCTTAATTTAAAAAAGTACTTGCAAGTAAAACAAAAAATTGAAATAGATATTAATACTGACGGACTCCCTCTTTTTCGAAGTTCAAAGAAAAAATTTTGGCCAATATTAGGACATCTCGTAGGAACTAAAAATTATCCATTCATTATTGCTATTTATTTTGGGAATTCTGATCCAAATAATGTGAAAGAGTTTTTGCAAGATTTTGTAACTGAAGTTGATAATCTAATTTCTAATGGTTATGTACGATATGGAAAAACTTTTATTTTTTTAATTAGACATTATATTCTTGATGCTCCAGCTAGAGAATTAATAAAATGTTGTATAGGCCATAATGGATATGCTTCATGTGAAAAATGTACAGTATGGGGAGAACGATTAGATTATAGGCAAACGTATATTGATTTACATGCTCCTTTAAGAACTGACGAAAGTTTTAAAAATCAAATGCAACCTCGCCATCATAAAGGAGTATCACCTCTTCTTCAACTTAATACCAAAATGGTCTCTCAGTTTCGATTAGAGCCTATGCATTTGGTATATGAAGGTGTGTTTAAGAGATTATTAGAAGCATGGAAGAATTGGATAAGTCCATGGAAACTACACTGGACTGTTGTAAACAGAATATCTGATAGGCTGATTCTGTTAGCCCCTTCTTGTCCTCAGGACTTTGCTCGAAAACCCAGATCTTTACATGAATTATCATTTTACAAAGCAACGGAATTCCGTCGTTTATGTTTATACGATGGCATAGCAGCTTTTGCTTCACATCCTGATATAAATATTTATAAGCACTTTCTATTATTGCATTGTGGAATTTATATTCTTACAAGTCCCATTCTTTATAAAAGTTTTAACGAGTATGCAAATACTCTACTCAGAACTTTTATCCAACATTCTATCACATTATTTGGAAAATTATTTGTTGTATATAATGTTCACTCTCTTTGCCATTTGGCACAAGAATGTATTGATCATGGTTGTTTAGATACATTTAGTGCCTTTCGTTATGAAAACAAATTAAAAATGATTAAAAGTAACCTCAAATCTGGTTTTAAACCCATTCAACAAGCAGCAAAACGTAAGCTAGAACAAAGTAAGAAAAACGTTGTACTTTTAGATTCTGATATAAATAACATTATTTTTTCAAAAAAACATAGAAATATCAATGAAAATATTTATGGTGAACAGTTTAAAAAAATTTCAGTAAATGATGTTATTTTTGAAGTAAATAATAGAGATTCATGCTTCAAAACAAGTGAAGGTAAAATTGGAGTCCTGAGAAATGTCATTCGCAATCAGGATAATATAATTTTTGTTGGCAATATTTTTAAAAATATTACAGATTTTTATACATATCCTTTGCATTCGTCTGAACTTGGCATTGTCAAAGTATCTGATTTAAGTGAAGAAAGATTGGTATTTTCTATAAATAATATTATTGCCAAATGTTGGCTCATTCCTATAAAAGATGAATATGTTTGCATACCTTTACTTCATACTATGTCCTTTTACAAATAGAATTTTGATATATTATGTCGTCTATATTGTGTATCTAATTGTAAGTGTATGTAAAGTTAATTCTTTTATGTATTTTATTGTTAGAAAAATTTTAAGTCATTACATATCAAAATCATTATTTTTTCAGTTTGTCGTTTTGAAATTTATAAATGAAGATGTTGATTGCGACGAGGAAGACGATTCTTTATTTGAAGTTGGTCTTATTAAATGGCTAAAACAATTAGATGAAGAAACAAATGCAAAAATTTCTTGGCCTCCTAAATCTGAGCAGAGTACTGCAATTAAAAAAGAAATAGATGCACTTCCTTCATGGCCGATATATAATGTTACTGTTTTAAAATGTTATGGTATGTTGTTTCTTATTGCATATTTTTTGCTTATAAAAAGTTAATTGTCTTTTTAATTGTATTTCCTAGATACACTTTTGGCTGCACGAAATGCACGAAATGGATATATTATGTCGTCTAATTATGAAACAGAGTGTGAATTTGGTCGTGGTAAACGTAAAAAAATTAAGCGGCAGTTTGCATGTGATGAATCTCTCTCGACAGAAGTGACAAAAAAAAGAAATTTAAAAATATTTCAACTTCTGATGATTCAGATTTTGATAGAGATGATAGTGCTATAAAAAAATATAAATTTAAACATGCTCCTTCTCCGCCACTTATCTTGTTTCGATCAGAAAATAATAAAGTAAAACAATATCAAAACAATATTATCACAGATAGCAAAACAAAAAAATTTGAAAGATTACAGAAAAATAAACAATTAGAAAAAAAAATGACGCAATGTTGACATTTTCTAAAAATCATAAATCTAAAAAGGATCTCTTACTTACAAAAATATGTCAAGCAAGGAAGATAACTTCAGTTACGGATAACAAAACAAAAATCATAGAGATTGCAAGAGAAAAACAGAAATGTTTAATAGAAGATAATGTAAGTATTTCTATACGTCGCACATGCAATGTGATGTAAGTCATAATTTTATTGGTATAAATAAAGTCTTGAAATGTTTTCATGTGTAAAGATGGATTCTGATAATGCTACAGAAGAAAATATTGATCCTAATATTCCACGAGAGGACGATTTTTCAATGAAAGTTCAGGATATGTCATCAAATAAAGATGTATCTCCAAGTACAAGTGCAAGATCGATAAATATAGAGACACCAGGTACATCAAAAGATTACTGTATTTATGAAGCAAATATATCTGATGAAAAATCCTCATCAGAATTACGTCAAAAGAGTCCAGTTACTTCACATGTGACAGCTGTAACTACACCGAGTCCATCTTGTAGATCAAGTAACATATATGACTTTGTACCTTTTAATTTTTTCTAAAGCATCAAATATTACGTTTTGATTTTTTTACAGGTAGTGTATTAGATGTGTCTAAAGCGACCTTTGATATGAAAACTTTTGAAAAAAAGATGTATTCGTTAAATCAAGAAATTAGTAGCAAATTAGATATGATTACTATGAATTTATGCAGATTAAATCGCTTTCTTCTACCACATGAGAAAAGAATAATAAGACCAGCAGATCTTCCAGCACTTCCATTGACAACAGAGGAAGAATTAGAAAAATTTGAAAAATATTTAACGAAAGATGATAATGCTGGTGCAACTGTAAATAAATATTTATCGCTTTTATTATATATATATATGTATATTTGTTTTTAATATTTATTAATATTTAATTTTCTTTGCTTAAATTTTGATTTTTTCCAGATTTGTTACATGAGTCAAATTATTGGTCCTAAAGACAATATTAAGGAAGCTACATATAAAGTACTAAGGAAACTTATTTCAAACACATTGGCAGCAGACTTTACTTTAAAAAGTGGTAAACATTTATCCAAAAAATGTTTCGAAAAGCTGATGCTGTATGAAGTTGTTCAAGGTAAGTAAACTTATATTTATTTCCAACTAAGAATCGTTTCAAATAAGAGAATAATATAAATATAAATTAATCAATAAAAATAAAATAAAAATTTAATATAATAAAATAATTTAAAAAATTTAATATAATAAAATAATTTAAAAATTTAATAAAATTTAATAAAATATAAAAATTATTGCATTTTTAGGTGCCATTTTAGACAAAAGGCCAGAAACAGAAATCCCAGAGATTGATGCAGCTACTTCACTGTGACTAAAGCAAGCACCTTGACGTCGCCAAGATGACGGCAGTATGGGGAAAAGAATAAAAAAATAAGATTATTTTTGTGTTTCTTTTGTTTTAAAATTTGACGATTTTTTTATTGTCATTTGACGATTTTTATAGCATATTTATGGCTGAACTATGCTCTGCTCTATATTTAAAACAACAAAATGTCTGCGACAAAAATATCTATTTTTTTATGCGTAACGTGAAATCAATTTCAGTTTTATTTTTTTTCTAATTTTATGCGATTGCGAAAAATGATTTATACTTTCGATTGTTTTGAAAAAAAAATGGAATTTTATTTTGTCGCTATATTAATATAGTATAAGAGACTTTTTCTTTTTTTTTGTTTACAAGCATCAGGACTTGTGTGTGCAATATTACTTTCGTTATCAAATTTATAAGTTTTCAGTACTTATTATATGTGTAAAAGTTGGTAAAACACGTAGCTGTTCTGCAATTATTTGTGATTTTTTATTAAACGGTATACTAAACGCTTTATACTTATAATATGTTAAAATTTGAAATAGTTTACAGATATAACGCATTGTTAATAAATATATATTTTATAATGCAATGTAGTTTAATTATATTCAACTTTGTATAATAATAAATGAAAGAAAAATAAGATTTGCACTTTTTGTTTTTTAGTATTTTTACCTTAAAAATAATAAATAATAAAATATACTATTTTATATATATATATATATATATACCATCAAATTTCGACGTTGAAACGACGTTGAAATAATAATTGAAAATTGGTTGATATTTGGTACGAGATCGACGTCGAATCGATCAAAATTTCGACTATACTTCGACATCAGATTTCAACGTTGATTCGACGTCGAGTCAACTATACATTTCTGACTGGGATATGATAAAATGATAGTTCATTTTGTGTAATTTAATGCACATAGAAAAATATTACATAGAAAATAATTTTAACATGATTATTTATGATACATTTCTACATCAGAAATAATTTAAACTTGAAACAGCGATTTATGGGACAGTACCATTTTGACTCAAGAAATTATTGATTCAAAAGATAGAAATTATTTAACATCGTTTTAGTATAAAATACATGCCATTTCTTTTTAGTACAATAGGTTGATATTAAAATAATACATTACTTAATTTACACATAAGAACTTGAAATCTTAATTTGTAAAATAGTATCTTTTTCATAACTTGAGAAAAACTGATTTCCCTTTCCTCATCTCTGCCAGAGTTGCATTCTGAACTTATTCTACGAGCTCAATAAAACATCCGCCTGTCGGCAAGCAGATAGGCAACTCGACATACTGCTGTGTATGTCGCAGAAACACCCTGTATAATGGATGAGTACCAACGTACTTTATGAGTACTATTTTTATAATTATACGAAACGTGTATTATGAGAACTTGTAACGGCGCAGCCGTTACTAACGCCTCGCGGGCCGATCAGCCGCCCGCCACGTGAGGCTTTGGCGCCTAAAGGCGCCCCTAATCGTTCCACACGGGCCGCCCCACCCCGGGGGCGCCCCACCGCGATTCCGGCGCGGTACCCCCGCCACGGACTCGACGCGGAGTGGGGGACCGCCGGACGGGTATATAAGCCGGCTCGGCGGACGAGCCGGCACCAGTCCCGTTCCAAATCTCCCAGACCAGGCAACGGGCTTCTCGTTGTGAAAGTGCCGGGTTTCTCGGTCGCTGGTTCCTACCGTTAGTATCGGGCAACGGGTTTTTCGTTGTAACACCGGGTTTCCCGGTTTCCGGTCTCCTCCTGTGATACGCCGGGCGACGGGCTTCTCGTCGTTATACTGGGTTTCCCAGTTTCCGGTCCATCCTGCTATCCGCCGGGCGACGGGTTTCTCGTCGTTACACTGGGTTTCCCAGTTTCCGGTCCATCCTGCTATCCGCCGGGCGACGGGTTTCTCGTCGTTACACTGGGTTTCCCAGTTTCCGGTCCATCCTGCTATCCGCCGGGCGACGGGTTTCTCGTCGTTATACTGGGTTTCCCGGTTTCCGGACATCATTATAAGGCTATATGCCGCCGTACGTTGGCTCCACAGCTCCCCGTTTTGAATAAAGGCATTACGCCCCGTACCTAGTATCTCCAGCATCGTATACCGGGTAACTTGTAAGTCCCATCTGGACACCGCTATAGGCTATGCGCCTCCAGCATCGTATACCGGGTAACTTGTAAGTCCCATCTGGACACCGTTATAGGCTATACGCCTCCGAGCTTGTAAATATACCGGACGCTTTGTACATATACCGGGTAGCTTTTAAGTTCTTTGTTCAGGCTTTACGCCACCGGACGCCCCGTTCGATCTTCACGCTTTGTACATATACCGGGTAGCTCTTAAGTTCTTTGTTCAGGCTTTACGCCACCGGACGCCCCGTTCGATCTTCACGCTTTGTACATATACCGGGTAGCTCTTAAGTTCTTTGTTCAGGCTTTACGCCACCGGACGCCCCGTTCGATCTTCACGCTTTGTACATATACCGGGTAGCTCTTAAGTTCTTTGTTCAGGCTTCACGTCACCGGACGCTCTGTGCGATCACCGTTCACTCCGTATACCAGCGATCCGCTAACCCATAGGGTGACCTGTACCCCGCTATCGAACATTCTTTTCGTTGTTCTTTTTATTTAAATAAACCAACTATTTTTATATTAAGGAATAAGCGAGTCTGAGTTTCCCCCTTCCTCCCGAATCCTGGAACCGGCGAGCCGATCCGCGGCGTCGGGAAAGGTGAACCGTTACAAACTTAATTTTTTAATTTTATACAGGGTGTCCCCTAATTTGCGGATCATCTCGTGTGCATATAGAACGTGTTAAATTGAATAAAAAAGTCCTTTATCATTTTGTGATTTTTGTAATAATTAATGAGAAATAAATTAAAAAACATCGGCCAATCTGTACTAATATAAGCGCGCGGCGCGAAAAGGCCTCCCATTTGTTACTTGATACTAGACGCGCTACGAGACAGTAGGAGTAGCAAATGACTTAGATTATATATTAAAATCCGGGAAACTTAATTTTTTCCTTAAATTTTTTTAAGTTACCGGGAAAGACCTTGGAATTAACTTTGAAAACCGTGATTTTTCAAACGTGTCATTTTTTAATTGCTATTGATTGAAAACATTGAAAATAACTCTTAATTAATTTTTTGTTGAAGCTTTATGAGTGCATTTTAAATAAACGCGCGTTCATCTTCTATCCCCTCTCTTTCCCCACGGTGCTATTTGGCGTATCGTTCTAATAATGTTTGCGGTCCGCGAGTCCGGCGGGCTCGTCGCAGTGATGACAGGTTTTTCTCTCTTTTACATGCGCGCGCCGTGCATATAGTAAAAAGAGACCCATAGTAAAACATCAGTTGATATATAAAGAAAAGAGTCCAACATTTGGTAGAATTATCCGCGCATGCTTTTGCTTTTTAATAAATAAATGATTTACAAATATCGAAAATCTAGACTGTAACGGTCGGTAGTTTCTCATATGTGATTCTCAGTGCAATACCTATAGATTAATAAGAGTGATTATAGAATAATAGGAGTGATTTATTCGTTGTCTTCTAACAGCAGGTAATATATTATTATCTAAATAAAATTATATATATAAGATCATTTTCACGAAGGAATATCGGAAAAATAATGATATTGTAAAATTGTTAAATAGCGAAATTACAATTTAAAGAAAGAATTTTAATATTTAAACTTTTTTTAAATTGTGTATATTTTTGAATAAGCCAATTTATATTATTTATTAATATATTATTATTTTTATTATTAAAAATATTACAGAATGTGGTTGAATTAACATTTCTTTATTTTGACACAAAGTTTTTAATAATTATTTTCAGTTGATTTTTCAAAGAATAATGTCTAAGTTTAAACAGAAAACTACCAAGTATCAAGCATCCTATGAGCTTATTTATCCATGGGTAGCACGAGATCCAAAACTGACACCAATGCATTATGCACGTGGTGTAAAACAGTTATTAATATTTCTTCCATGGGAAAAAGTGCTCTTCATAGTCACGTCAAATCAATAAAGCATAAAAACATTGTTACAACTAAAGAAAATAGTATTCCGATGGAAATGTTTGTACAATGTAAAGAAAAAGATAGTGCACAATCTGCGACTACTGATGCCGAATCATTACAAGGTACCCTTATTATTATT